TGGCAGCTCCACTTCTGATCCAGCTCCCTGCTCATGCGCCTGGAAAAGCAGCAGAGGATGGCCCCAGAGCTTGGGACTCTGAACCCGCATGGGAGATCCAGAAGAAACTCCTGGCTTCTGGTTTTCTTCTCCATCTGCAACTGTGCCTAATAAAAACTAAAATAGTAAGAATTTTAAAAATGCATCACTTTGACCATTTGCTTAAAAAAATAATAAGTATTGATTTGACACAAGAGAGATCTTGCATCTTGGGTCTCTCCCCAAATGGCAGCAACAACCAGAGCTGGGCCAGGTCAAAGCCTGAAGCTTCTTTCAGGTCTCACATGTGAATGGGATCCTGGCTTCAGATCAGTTCAGCTCCAGCCGTTGCGGCCACTTGGGGACTTAATCACTGGATGGAAGATCTTCCTCTCTGCCTCTCCTCCTCTCTATATATCTGATTTTCCAATAAAAAATTAAAAAAAAAAAAGTAGAGCAGCCGGGACACGAACCAGCACCCATATGGAATCCTGGTACTTGAAAGGAGAGCATTTAGCCATCTGAACCATCATGCCAGGGCCACCTAATACATATCCAGAGAGGCTGTAGGTGAAGGCTCCAGTAGCTGGGTCCCTATCACCCCCATGGGAGACCTGGATTGAGTTCCAGGATCCTGGCTCGGGCCTGGCCCAGCCCCAGCCAATGTAGGCGCTTGAGAAGCAAACCAGAGGATGCAAGATCTCTCTCCGGCTCTGTCATCCCCGTACTCTGTCACCCGCCTTTCAAATAAATAAACCTTATTTGAAAAATGGTGTAAGAGATTGTGAAGAGATGGATTAAGAGAACAGAAGTTGTTGTCTCACCTGCTGATGTTTACTGAAATGGGAAGATATTTTTGTTGGTAAATTTGACTTTGGTAATTTTTAGATGAAGACGCGTGTTTCTTCTTTGTGGTGGGAGAGAAAGAGGAAGTCACCCTAAAAACCCGACCATCTCAGAGAGTAAAGTTGGAGGTACAGGCTGTGTGTGTGAGAAGCAAAGTAGCTCTTCGTACAATTATAATTGATACTCGTTACTTTTTCTGTGGTTGAAAGTAAAAAAAAATCCTCCAACTAGTGCCAAAGCCATGGGGAAATTTGCTGACAATCATATCAAAACATATCCAAATGTAGCTAAACTACGCTGTCACTTAAAGGTGTAATTCAGGGAGCCATTGTGGCCACTCAAGAAGCTAATCCTTTTGGGGTCCGTGCAGTGGGTGTGGGGGGACGCAAAGGTGTGAAGAATATTGTTCCATTGCAGGCAGGGCCGCAAGGATCTCCCGCTGTATGGCAGGGCCCGGCGGATGTCTCTACAACCACCTGAATGCAGCTCCGCCTCCCTCTGCATGGACACTGGACCACCCTGCGGAAGAACGCTAATCCATCCAGGCATTGTTTGCTACTGTGGAGTTGGCTTTTTTACTCAATGTGAGCTTGGAGGTTAATGTCAATAATAACATCTTGCAAAAGGGCCTTTTATTATTCCTACCAGTCTTGGCTGTCCACATTGACCTTATGCTAATCAAGGGACCTATATTTAGGCTTTATTCTTTCCTTGATCTTTAGGGTCTCCTTTTCTTTGTGATACAAGTTGTAGAATAAGAATTGTAGTAGGAACTTATAATGTTTTTAGGTAAAACAAACGGCAGGATTATCCTTAGAAACACCCACTTGACCGCGATGTAAAAAGTCTGAGCCAGAGTTGGACTGTTTCTGTATAAATAAAGCGGACAGCTTTCCCGCATTGTCCATTATGATCATGAAATCCTAGTCCGTCTTTCTTTCCTCTTTACGCCTCATCCACACGCCCTTCTCGAGTTCCGAACTCAGCTGGAGCTGGACTCCGGCATAATCCTCTGCTTGGGATGCTGGCATCCTAATATGGCTGTTGGTTCTTGTCCTGGATGCTCCACTTCCTATCCAGCTCCTGCGTATAAAATAGAGGATGGTTCAGGTCCTTGCATCCAGGCGGGACACCCAAAAGAAACTCCTGGCTTTGGATCAGCTCAGCTCTGGCTGTTACGGCCATTTGGGGAGAGAACCAGTGGATGGAATATTTTGTTGTGCGTCTTCTTCTCTCTGTAAATATGCCTTCAAATAAAAATAAACCTTTTCTAAAAAAAAAAAAGTTGCAATTCTCAAGGGTTTGTGTCCTTCAGAACTTCCTTTTTCTGGCCCAAGGGAGGAAGCACTGCTCACCCTGACGTGGTTCACACGCTCACTCACAGCTGTGAGTTTTCTGGTGCAATTAAAAAAAAAAAAAGATTTATTTGGGGTCTAGCGCAATAGCATAGCAGTTTAAGTCCTCCCCTTGAACATGCTAGGATCCCATATGGGTGCTTGTTTTTTTTTTTATTTTTATAAAATTTTATTTTGACATTCTTTACATAGTTAATTAGGGTAAGAAGGGCTACAGGAAAGTGGATAATACTAGTATGTTTTCCATATTGTTACCTTCATGTTTAAAGGGGGGTATTAAGGGATAAGGCCCACCCAATTTCCCACCCTCCCCAGGTCCCGCATGTAGGGCTGAGGTTCTTGCGGGTGCTTGTTTTAATCCCGGCAGCTCTACTTCCCATCCAGCTCCCTGCTTGTGGCCTGGGAAAGCAGTTGAGGATGGCCCAAAGCCTTGGGACCCTGCACCCGTGTGGGAGACCTGGAGGAGGCTCCTGACTCCTGGCTTTGGAATGGCTCAGCTCCAGCTGTTGTGGCTGCTTGGGAAAGCGAATCATCGGATGGAAAATCTTCCTGTTTCTCCTCTCTGTGTATCTACCTTTCCAATAAAAATAAATAAATCTTTAAAAATAAATAAATGTTTTTAAAAATTATTTGTTTAGGGAGGAAAGAAGAAAGCAGATTTATAGAGAGAAGGAGAGGCAAAAATCGTGCATCTGCTGATTCATTCCCCAAATGGCCACAATGACCAGAGCTGAGCCAGTCTGTAGCCAGGAGTCCTGAACCTCCTTTGGGTCTCCCACGCGGTTGCAGGGTCCTAAGGCTTTGAGTTGTCCTCAACTGCTTTCCCAGGCCACAAGCAGGGAGCTGGATGGGAAGTGGAGCAGCTGGATATGAACCGGTGCCCATATGGAACGCTGGCGATTGATTGTAGGTTGATTGCCAGTTAAGCCATTGTGCCAGCCTTTGGGGTGTGGGGTGGGGATGATTTGTTTGAATGTTAGTGATTTGTTTCAATGACAGGCAAAGGAACAGATCTGTTGGTTCATTCGCCAAACACCTGCAACAGCCGCAGTTTGGTCAGGCTAAAGCCGGGCTGCCCCAGGGGAGGGCAGGGACTGGAGCACTGGAGTCACCAACTACTGCCCCCCAGAACGCACAGCAGTGGGAAGCCGCAACTGCCAGTTGGAGCCAGGACTCGAACCCAGGCGCCTTAAGGGAGGTGGGATCCACAGAGACCTCTAAACACCTGTGCATTTTTTTTCCCCAAAAGATTTACTTTTTATTGGAAAGTCAGAAATACAGAGAGGAGACAGAGAGGAAGATCTCCTGTCCGCTGATTCACTCCACACCTCCTAAGTGGCCACCACAGCCGGTGCTGAGCTCATCTGCAGCCTGGAGTCAAGAACTTCTTCCGGGACTCCCACACGGATGCAGGGTCCCAAGGCTCTTGGGTCATCATCCTTGACTGGTTTCCCAGGCTACAAGCAGGGAGCTGGATGGGAAAATGGGGCTGCTGGGATTAGAACCAGGGCCCATATGAGATCCTGAGGACTTTGGCCACTAAGCTACCGTGCTGGGCCCTAGGATTTCACTTTTCTCATCTTCAACAAGGAGATGCCTTTACTGCCTCCAGCCAGATTTTGATGCGAAACAGCTGCGCACGAAACTGCTGAAGCTGCGTACAAATGTCCGACCCCTGGTTACTTCCACGCTGGTTGCAAGGTCAGCCATTGGCTTTTTTTTTTTTTTTCAAATAAGTGCTTGTAAAAAAAGGTTTATTTTTATGGGAAAGGCAGATATACAGAGAGGAGGAGAAACAGAGAGGAAGAACTTCCGTCCGATGGTTCACTCCCCAAGCGGCTGCAATGGCTGGAGCTGAGCCAATCCAAAGTCAGGAGTCAGGAGCCTCCTCCGAGTCTCCCACGCGGGTGCAGGATCCCAAGGCTTTGGCTTGTCCTCGACTGCTTTTCCAGGCCACAAGCAGGGAGCTGGATGGGAAGTGGAGCAGCTGGGACACGAACCAGCACCCATATGGGATCCTAGCATGTTCAAGGCGAGGTCTTTAACCGCTACGATATCGCGCTGGGCCCCAGGCATAGGTTCTTACTGGGAACACGTTGGAGACCGTCCACGCTCACTGGATCCTCTGTGATCAAAACCCTTATCCGTGGGGGAGACGAGGGACGGCCCAGCGGTCCAGGCGTAACGTCCACGCTTTCCTCCCGGTACAACGTCACAATTTAAAAACCCCAGTCAAGCAAAGAGCGCCGAGGCGCCCACGTGAAGCCCGGCCCTCAGGTGCGTCGCTGCCGGAGCCCCGTTAGAGCCGCAGACAGGCAGGGGGCGGGAGGGCCGAGGACCCCGGCAGTGGAGAGGCTCGCCCTCCTGAGTGAAAGTGGGGCCCAGGAAACAGGCACGGCCGCACGATTCTCGCTTCCCACGCCGCGGCTTCCCGCCAGGCCTACGGTTCCTTCCGCCCAGAGTCCCTTGTCCCGCCTTTAACGGGTCAGACCGTTCTATTTCTTCATAGGGGTGAAGACGTATCAAGGGCTATGCCTGAACAGAGACCACGAACCCTTTATCCAAAAGAGAATGATCATGTAGGCTATATCCTTACGTGTATCAGTTGGTCTTCTCCCTTTCTTTTTTTCAAGGACCTGTTACACTCCCCGTAGAGTGGCCGGCGTCTGGCCCCGCTCCCCCCGCGTCTTGAGCACAGGGTGGTACAGTCCTCCGCGGAGCGTGGGCGGGGCGGCCTATTTAAGGCCGGGCGCAGGGGGCGGGGCTGCTCAGTCCTCGCGGCGTCGGCGTGGTGCGCGGTCGGGAGCGTGCTGCTGGGCGGCCGAGCGCGCGTGCGCGGACATGGCTTCCAACGGTGAGTACGGGCGCGCGGCGGCGGGGCCTTCCCGTTCTCTCCGGATTGCACTTTGTATGATTTTCCGGCGGGATCAGGGTGGCGATCGCGTGTAGGATATTTCGGAACCTGCCCCCCCCACCCCCGTGGCGGGAAGCCGCGGACAAGGGGGCGGATGGGGGAGTCTGTTGTCGCCATTTTGTTTCGGTCCTCGGGCGCGTTTCGTGCGGCGGCGCGGGAAGGCTCGCGTTCCTAGATGGGTGCGGGGAGGACGCCCGTCGGTGGGGTTCGGTGTGCGGTAGGGGAGAAGACGCTCCGGCTCGGTGGCCCCGACCCCGCAGCCTTGCAGCGCCGGGCCGGGCCCCGCGCTCGGGCCCGCTTTGTCGCAGTGCTGCATCCGGGCACTCGGGCGCGCGCTCCGCAGGCCCCTCCTCCCCCGGCGGCGCGGATCCCCCTTCCCCTCCTCGCGTGGGGCCGGGGTTTTGTTGGAAGACCCTCGGGACGGGGATCGGGACCGGCCTCGGGCTTCGGGCCCCCCCCCGGGCGGGTCCCACGGGGACGAGGCGGGGCGGGACCGCGCCGTTCCCGCCTCGGTTGCCACGCGGCCGGGGGCGGATGCTCTGGATCGTGGCCGCGCGCGCCCGCCCGCCCCACGGTGTTCGCGGGGCGGGAGAAGGGTCGTCAGGGACATGCACGAACCGGGGATGTGTGTGAAGGGGAGCTCACGGGTTTTCCCTCCGGAAAGTTGTCCTTCCCGAGAAGGGGAGCCGCAAGCCACGGGTGGCCCAGGCCACACCCTTGCCAGGTCTCCTCCGGCCGTTTCCTGCGGGGGGAAGTGCCGCGGGTTCCTGCGCCCCGGCGTGCGTTCTTGGCGCTGCTGCCGTCTCGGCTCTGGCGCTTTCAGCCTTTCTGGGTTGCCGCGGTTGAGAGGCAGATGGAGGTGATCAAGTTGTCGGGAGTCCCAGGCCTGGGGACTCGAGTCTCGAGTGCTGGATTGTATCGCACCTCCGGGGGCAAGCGCAGAGCTTTGGGTGGTTGCTGGACTTTGCCCAAGACCCCACTGGGCCCCAAGGTTAAGCAGAAGGGCGAAGAGCACCTTTTCATTTTATTTTTGAGGCTTTCTTTGTTGGGAGGGAGACCACCTTCTGAATCCATGGTACCTTGGGGAGGGGGTTCGAATGAAGACCTGGGTTACCTAGGAGCTGGTGGCCTTTGTCAGGGCGTGTGTGCCGACGCGCCAGGGATGGTGGCAGGCTTGCAACAGGCCTCACAGGAATGGAGTTTGCCGAGTGTCCTGGGCTAGCTGCGGGGTGTGCTGTCTGCTGGCCTGGCTTCTGTTGGGGGGAATCTGTCTGTTTCGCTGGTGGCTGATTGTGGTTTTCTCTTGCAGACTATACCCAACAAGCAACCCAAAGGTGAGTGCCGGGTCTGGGCTCCACCTTCATGGCCGGGCTGGGGCATGCAGGGCCCTTGTTCCTGACTGCACTCTTTGCCTACAGCTACGGGGCCTACCCCACCCAGCCCGGGCAGGGCTACTCCCAGCAGAGCAGTCAACCCTATGGCCAGCAGAGCTATGGCGGCTATGGGCAGTCCACGGACACTTCCGGCTATGGCCAGAGCAGCTATGGCTCCTCCTACGGACAGACACATAACAGTGAGTCTGGTGGGATCACCCCGCCGCCTTCCCCTTCCCGGAGGGTTTTCCAAGTTAACTGTGTTTTTTTTCCCCCTTCATCCTGAAATCTATGACGTCCTGAGGCCTTTCAAGGGAAAATACTTGCTGCCTGCTTTTTTTCTCTGCCTCTTCATGTATGCCAGACACGTTTCTATTTCCCCTTTCATTTGAAAACGGGCATATTCCCTAGAGGGGAGCCAGTTTTAGGCTGATTCTTAATGAGCAAAATGGCTTTCTGCAGCATGTTTTGAAGTCAGGTTACTGTGTGTCATGTGATACACAAGGAGATGGAATTTGTCCCCAGGACCTGAAGTGTAAATAATTCATGTGGGTTTTCTCTGTATCCTGAACACATACCAGCACGTTCTAATGCGGTTCCTACCTAGGAATCTTTTGCCTGGGCTGCTGGTCTTAGATTGGCTTTAGGGATAGTTGGAATGAAACTGTCTTCAGTCAGTAGATGCTACAGCTTTAGTCTCTTGGTAGGCGTCGGCCAATTAACAGCAGCCTCTTCTCAAGCTGACTTCTCGTGCGTGGAGCAGCACTGGAGTATGGTGTGCTCAGCACGGTTCATGCCTCTTTTCTTCATAGTGTTTGTGACTGCGTTTTTCCTTGTAGCAGGCTATGGCACTCAATCAGCTCCCCAGGGTTATGGCTCGACTGGCGGCTATGGTAGCAGCCAGAGTTCCCAGTCATCTTACGGGCAACAGTCCTCCTACCCTGGCTATGGACAGCAGCCGGCTCCCAGCAGCACCTCAGGAAGGTAAGGTGGTATGGGGAGGAAGGCCTGAAGGATGAGGGTGAATGAGTGAGGGATGGAGGGCGGGTGAGCAGCAGTAGGAGCAGCTGGGGTGCAAGAGGGTTTGGGGGAGAGCGGGCTGCATGAGCGCATGGGCCTGGGCCTGCTGGGGTTGTGATTCGCTTGTCTGTTTCCCTTAGTTACGGCAGCAGTTCTCAGAGCAGCAGCTACGGGCAGCCCCAGAGCGGGGGCTATGGCCAGCAGTCTGGCTATGGCGGACAGCAGCAAAGCTATGGGCAGCAGCAGAGCTCCTATAACCCCCCTCAGGGCTACGGGCAGCAGAACCAGTACAACAGCAGCAGCGGAGGTGGCGGAGGGGGTGGCGGAGGTGAGCGTTGCTGTCTCAACACCCGTTTCTTTGTCTCAACACCCGTTTCTTTGTAAGGACTTTGATTCTGTGCTTCGGCTTCTGTCCTATAAGCTGCTCTTTTGGTTCCTCGCTGGTATTTTGCTTTTGTCAACTCTTTACTCTGTGGAAATTTTGAATTTTTTTTATATACCACTTTGCAGTTTGTCTTTTAAGGCGTGCTTTTCCCCCTCTTGACAGGGAGCTATGGCCAAGACCAGTCCTCTATGAGTGGTGGCGGCGGCGGTTACAGCAGTCAGGACCAGAGCGGTGGCGGTGGCTACGGGGGAGGCCAGCAGGACCGAGGGAGCCGCGGCAGGGGCGGCGGCGGCGGCGGTTACAACCGTAGCAGTGGCGGCTATGAACCCAGAGGCCGAGGCGGTGGCCGTGGAGGCAGAGGCGGCATGGGGTAGGTGTCTCAGGAGCCAGGGAGTATCTCTAGTGGGGAGTGCGGCGGGGTGCATGACTCTCCCCTGAAGCCTGTCTTCTAGTGCATGGTCAGTGTTTTGTGCTCTAGGGACGGTGAGGACTTTGGGAGCAGTTACTGCTTCTTTGTGCATCCCCATTTCACTTTTGCGAGCACCTGAACTCCCATCCACACCTCTGAATAGATTCGACTGTTGACACTTTCATTTCCAAAGAAAGAAAAGGGTTGGAGCTATTGATGTCCTAGGCAAGAATTGTGGCAGTAAAGACTTGTCTCTGCAAGGGAAACTGATGAGCCCACTCCTGGGAAACAGGAGGGAACCGTGGTGTCTGGCTGCCCATGTGTCCTGGCAGGGAGTTGGTAATGCTTAACTTGACTTCAGCTTCCAGGAGTTGGCTACTCTTTCCGCATTCTGTAGTCATTTGAATCCATGAGCTTGATTTGCACTAATTTGATTGACAGTAGTGATTCTGTGTGTGACTTGGTTTATGGGGTCATCTGACTGAAGTGTGCAGACCTTTGGGACACAGTACTCCGACAGTCGTATCCCACCTATTTGTTCCTCGGTCCACCTTACCCTGGTTGCTTAAAAAACATGAGCTTGTCCCGTTGGACCTTCTTCCCTTCCCTGAAGTTGACTTGGAAGGAAAACATTAGATTTGATGTTAAAGCAGTCGTCAAATCTGTTGATAAATTCAATATGAAGGACCCTACTCTGTCTTCATTGGAAGGGGGAGGAATGGCAGTGTTAATTCCTTTTTGAGAAAAAGTTTAAGTGAGAGTTGATGTGTGGTAAGTATTCAGAGGTGGGTGGGGGCATTCTCAAAAAACGTGCAGAAAATAAGGAAGACTCTTGTGTGCGTGTGTGTTTAATGCAAAACTTAAAAAAAAAAAGCAACTGTTATGTGACTGTTAACTTGCTCTGCATTTTATGTGCCACAGGTATGAAAGGTGACATTGCAAAATACTCCGCTCTTCTCGCAGTGTAGAAGGGGTGACCCCGGGGGGTGGGGGATCAAAACCATCTCAGTAGTTATGATAGGGCTTAGCTAAGTTTGTCTTGCTTTAGGGGAAATTGCCTTTGGTTTTGACTTTTTAGGAAATGGGGTTGGGTCTGCTTGCTGCTTTCAAAGCAAAAACCACAACAAATGTGTTCAGGGCTACCCCAGCCTGGTGTGAAATGTCTTCTGGGTAAATCCGGGGTAGGGTTTTTAAACCAACTGCTGGGTTGTCAACTACTCGCCACAAGAGGAAAAAACACCTGCTACGTCGGAAGAACGACCAAGGAAAATGGGTCATTTTTTTTTTCCAGAGGAAATAGATAAAACATTTTAAAGCAAAATCCTTAAAACAAACAAACCTGTGTCTGAGAAACTGCACACGTGTGTGTGACATGCTCAAAGATCAGACAAGCGTGGTCAGGAAGGGCTGTATGTTAGTAGCCACATGTATCTTTTTCCCAAAACACTTACCCACATTTGGGAAATGATAAAATTCAAAACCAAAACAAAAAACAAAACACCCTTTTGTAGCCGTTGGAAGCTTCATGTCCTTTCTTCTAACTTGTCTTCTCCAGCGGAAGTGACCGTGGTGGCTTCAATAAATTTGGTGGTAAGTGAACAGAGTTTCCAAAATTCCCAACTCCCAGCAATGCTTTGTCTGATTGTTCATTTGCAGATGTCTTAGTGTGTTAACTTGAGTGTCAAAGGTTTTGAAGTGTCCAGAACCACCTCCAGAAAGGGGTGGGGTAGAGTGCCACCTGCTGCCATCTCTGTGCCAACGTGGAGGCAGGCAGGGGTAAGATTCAGCAACCATCTGGTACCAAACTGGTTTGTCTCAGGTTGATAAGAGGTGTCGAGGAGGCCTCTTGACGGGTGTTGCCACGCCTGGCGCTTAGCGACCACCATCGTGAGGAACGCGAGTGTGTGCTGGGACACGTGGTGGACAACTTGGCTTTAGGATCCTTTTGATCATTGTGTCCAAGACTTGTGTGTGCGTGTGTATGTGTGTAACCTCCAAATGTTAATTCTGGGAGAGGGTCGTGAAATAACTGCCCTGGCCTGAGGATGGCGAAGTTGGTATCTTACTCATGAAGTACTGAATGGTGTCAATGCAATTCCACATACATGTATGTAACATAGGTGGGCAAATAGAAACTAGCTCTGGGAAAGGAAGGCGTGGACTACTTCAAGAATGGGAGCATGTGTGGCTCATGGGAAATAACCAGGTCTTAATCGACACAAAACAGAATTCATGGAAAAATGACAAATAATTGAGAAGTCTCCCAGTAAGCTGGAACTTTTCTGGTTTGGTTAATAAAAAGGTTTCTTGATTCATTGCAACATTAAAAGCCAAAGGCTTGGGTTCATGACTTAGGTGTCATTGTGTAAGGGTGTAATATATATGGCAAATTCAGCTAAACATTGGTCAAAGACGGTCTCTGGAAAAAAAAAAATAGAGGCTACCTTACGGAAATAAGATTTCTGGTCTGTTCCCTGGGACATGCTTTAAAACTATAATAGTTATTACCTATGTTTTTTATTTTCATGTGGCTTTGGGGAAACAAATGGTTTTAAGAATGGTTTCTTAAGACGAAATTACCGATTGTTCTACAAGGGATAAGTGTATTGGTGTTAAAAGTTTGGAGAAACTGAATGGATGCACGTCCTGTGGCTGGTGGTGAGCCCCTGTCTCTCGGGTGAGAGTGCAGGGCCAGGCTCTGAGTCGGGTTAACGGGTCGTATCTCCGTCCCCTCCACGTCTGTGCTGAGGACATGGCCCAGCCTGAGCTGCGGGGAGGCAGCATTTTCTGAAGTGTGGAGTTGGCCCTGTGTGGACTGAAGTTACAGATCTTGAGAAAAGGGCCTGTGTCTCCCGGCCTAGGGTTTCCTCCTGGGCAGGCAACCCAGGACGGGGGTTTGGAGAGAGGCTATGAACGCTTAACCTGATACTGTGCAAGAATTTGGATTTGGTGTTAACTTCTTCCTTGGTGTCCTTCCTGGTTGACTGATGGCTCTTTTCCTTGTTTTTGTTTTTCTTTTGTTCTTTTTTCTGTCACTTTAAGGCCCTCGGGACCAGGGATCACGTCATGACTCGGGTGAGTGCAGTTTTGGAAAGTGACCAAAGGGATAGGAACCTGGAGGTTGGAGATGGGTAGTGACAGCTGAGGCAGCAGGTGGGAGAGGCGGCAGGATGCTTGGATGGGGTCGTAGCTCTAGTTTGCACTGGTTCTGCAGTCCCTCATTGATGGGCTCTTTCCTACAGTGGTTCAGTAGGACTGGGAGGAGTGCCGAGTTTCTGCTTTGTTAATAAACCAGTGGTGCTGATGCACTGTGGGCCACTACAGAACTACTGGTGTAAAGCAGTGACTTTTTTTGGTTGTGTATCATGTCCAAATTTGTGAACTGAACAAAAGCCTGATTGTGTCACACAAAGGGAAGCATTTAATGAGTTCACATTTGGACACTTGTTGAAATGTAAGGATTCTTATGGTAGGTCTTCCAAGTAGGTTAATAGGGGTACACATTGCTGTGATTTTTGTTAACTTAAAATTACTTGAAACAGCTACAGGGTGCCTGGTACAGATGCTTAGTGGCTAATCCTTTACCTCCGAACACAAGGATCCCATATGGTCATGTCCTGGCTGCTCCACTTCCCATCCAGCTTCCTGCTTGCAGCCTGGAGAAGCAGTAGAGGCTGGTGTACTTACATGGGAGACCCTGCAGAGGCTTCTGGCTCCTGGCTTTGGATCATCTCACCTCTAGGAGTTGGCGGCCACTTGGGGAGTGAACCAGCAGGTGGAAAATCTTTGTCAGATTATACAGAGGAGAGAGGCCTTGGATCCACTGGTTCACTCCCCAAATGGCCAAAATGGCTAGAGTTGAGCTGATCTGAAACCAGGGGCCATGTCATTTCTGGGTGTCACATTGGATGTAGGGTCCCAAGGTGTTGAGCGGTTCTCTTTTGCTTTCAACCAAGGAGAGCTGGATGGGAAGTGGAGCGGCTGGGACATGCCCATATGTGATCACGGTGCTTGCGGGGTGAAGGGTTAGCCTGTTGAGCTACAGCACCAATTCCATGTGGAGTCTTTTCAGTTGTTTATCCTAGATCCAAAATGATACTGGTCGCTTGAGGTTTTCAGGATTTTTTTTTTCAATCAGATGTTAGGTTATTAATTACTTGTTAAGCATTTGTTTTCTATTTTAAAACTCGTTCTACATATTTATATGTTTGCTCTGTGTTCCTCGAGCAGAGCAGGATAATTCCGACAACAACACCATCTTCGTGCAAGGCCTGGGCGAGAATGTCACCATCGAGTCTGTGGCGGATTACTTCAAGCAGATTGGTATCATCAAGGTACTTGGAGCAGAGCTTTCTGTTTTCTTACTAGCTTTTGATTTCACACATTGGTTAGAAACACATGTTCCCAGCTTGATTTGTTTAGGTAAGGATAGTGATTCTTGACATTTTTTGAAAAGAAATCACATTTACCACAAAACAAAATTGACGAGGGAGTGCCCAACACTGTGAAATTCTTGAACAGCACAGTTTTGGAGTGTATAGATCCATTTATGCACATGGTGGTTTCAGGGATCTGTGAGAAGCTATTTGTGTAGTCTAGAAATATTGGAAACCCTATGCATTCTCTGCTCTTAACATGTAGTGTGCCTATTTTATTTTACCCTAAAAAAAAACAGATCTGTTATGAAAAGTTAAATTTGTCAGAACTTCAGCAAGGAGCAGCCTCTTCCCCTTCACAGTGGACACAGGAAAAAAGAAAATTTAACTTTCCTCCATACCCTGGCCCTTCCCATTCTAATTGGAGGCCCACATGGGCATGCGTCCCTCTCAACTATGTAAACAGTATTAGAAGTTTGAAATTACAAGAAAAGTTATGTCAAAACTTAAGCACCATATGTAATACTGTTTGCAGTTTAAATGTAAACATGAGGCTATAGTACTTAATATGGCTGCATAGTTTTTCATTAAAAAAAAATAATGGTTTATTTTGAAAGTCAAATTATTAGGCCTTCAGTTAGTGCTTCACCCTCCAAATGCCTCGATGGCCATGGCGGGACCTTCACCTTGGTCTCCCGATGTGTGGCAGAGCACACACATTTGGGCTACTTCTTGCTGCTTTTGCAGAGCATTATTGGATGGGAACTGGTCCAGAAATGGAGCAGCTCCAGAAATGGAGCAGCTGGGATGGGATTGGTGCCTCTGCAGAATGCTGGTGGCACAGCTGTCCCTGCATCTGCATGAATGTTTTCTGAAGTCCTGTCCTGCTGTCATTTACAGCCACCTATTTGTGGCTTTTTGTGGCGAACTCAAGTGTCAAATGCTAGATGATGATGTAATGGTAATGATGTACCATGTGAGCAGTTCAGTTCTCTGTTTTTAGACTTGATTGAAAGGCAGAGTGATAGGAGAGTTCCTGCATGCTGATTCACTCCCTCTGTGGCCTCAGTGGCTGGGGCTGGGCCACAGCCAAGGCGGGAGCCTGGAATCCCATCAGTTTCACTCACGTGATGGCAGTTAGACATGATCTGCTGCTTTCCCAAGTGCAGTAACAGGAAACCGGATTGGAAGTAGAGCAGCTGCACTTTAATGCCCCGATCATGTGTGTTTTTACAGTCTACTATAGTATACATAACATGGAGCATTAATCTGTGTATATCATTGTAAGGGTTCTGGCCAACAGGGAGTCAGAAGTTTTATGTGGAATTTTGGTGGCAGTTTTGATGGTTCTTAGTTCCTTCATGTTCAGCAGTCAGCTGTGTGATGCTTAGCTTTCTCTTTTAAGAAAGAAGCAGTTGAAAAGCATGGCTGTAATTGAAAGATCAGAGAGAGAGTGACTGGGAAGAAACAGCTGAAGTTTGGGGATGCGGAGCCTCAGGTTTTTTTGGGGGAAGATGGGGAACACAGTTGACCCTTTGGCTTTATAGGTTCCATGGCACATGCAGATGTAGCCAGTTGCAAATTAAAGATGCTTGGGAGAAAATAGTCATTATCACCTGTGAAGAACAACAGATCAACTACTAGCATAGTCTGCACTGTATTATGTGTTACAGTAATCTAGAGAAGATGTGAAATGCAAATACCATTTTATTAGGGCCTTGAGTGTCCAAAGATGGTGGGGCTCTGGAGTTGGCCATTACATGCAGGTATGGAGGGATGACTCCTGTGTTTGAAATCACTCGTCTTATTTTGCTTCTTTCAGACAAACAAGAAAACGGGACAGCCCATGATTAATTTGTATACAGACAGGGAAACTGGCAAGCTGAAGGGAGAGGCGACGGTCTCATTTGATGACCCACCTTCTGCTAAAGCAGCTATCGACTGGTTTGATGGTACGTGTGAGACACAGCTGATGGGGGACAGGGGCAGATAGGAAAGGCTGGGTTTTGAGTTGTCTGGCAATACTTAGTACACTAGAAACCTCTTCAGGAAGGCGGTCTTAGATGATAGGCACCACGAGTGTTTTTGGGTTTATAGATCTTTTCATTTCTCACAGGCAAAGAATTCTCTGGGAATCCCATCAAGGTTTCATTTGCTACACGCCGAGCAGACTTTAATCGGGGTGGTGGCAATGGTCGTGGAGGCAGAGGGCGAGGAGGTGAGAAGCTGCGTGGTGGATTGAGGGGAGGGTGAGGTTAGGGCATACAAGCTTGGAAGGGGCATGGATCATTGTGTGTGCACACTAGGTCCCATGGGCCGCGGAGGCTACGGTGGCGGTGGCAGTGGTGGTGGTGGCCGAGGAGGATTCCCCAGTGGAGGTGGTGGTGGAGGAGGACAGCAACGAGCTGGGGACTGGAAGTGTCCTAATCCGTGAGTGAATCTTCTGATTTATTCCTTCAGTCCTTTTACTGTGTGTCTTGATGACAGTTAATTCAGTAACCAAAGTGGCAGGTAGTGTGTGCAGCACAGCGTGCATAGTGGGACTAGGGAATGAAGTGGAAGGGCATGAGGCTTTATTGTGCTAAATAGGACCACATGCAGTTGAAAACTGAGGAGTTTTCCCATTGACTATTTGGGGGACTGGTAGGAAAGATAAGGGACTGAGTTCCAGTCATAGCCTGCCTTTTCATTCCTGAATCTCCCCAAAGAACCCCATTCGTCTGCCTTTCAGGTACCTTAGGCTCTCACTGCAGTCTGTGCTTTGGATCTTGTCTGCTTCCCAGCCCTCTTAACTGATTGTCCTCCTTTTGCTCAGTACCTGTGAGAACATGAACTTCTCTTGGAGAAATGAATGTAACCAGTGTAAGGCCCCTAAACCAGATGGCCCAGGAGGGGGACCAGGAGGTTCGCACATGGGTAAGAAAGGCACAGCTGGTAATGAGCACATGGGACAGTCAGCCTTTGTCAGGCAGGGAGGTTGGGATGGAAATGTGAAATATGTTTCTTGTTTTCTAGGGGGTAACTATGGAGATGATCGACGTGGTGGCAGAGGAGGCTATGATCGGGGCGGCTACCGGGGCCGTGGCGGGGACCGTGGGGGCTTCCGAGGGGGCCGGGGTGGTGGGGACAGAGGCGGCTTTGGCCCTGGCAAGATGGACTCCAGGTGAGATGTCCTAGGGGAATGGAACACAGTGATGGGGGGCACGGTTTTGTTGAGCGTTTTCATTTTGATAATTATATGGGAAAGTGGGGAGGGAAAGAAAATTATATCTCTGAGGAAAATGATCTCATCTGTACATGCCTGCTACTTGGTCATTTGGGTGGGTGGGAGGGGTGGATGGACAGGCTGAGCACTCAGAACTAATGGACATTTTGCTTTTTTTTTTTTTTTTCCAGGGGTGAGCACAGACAGGATCGCAGGGAGAGGCCGTACTAGTCGTACTAGTACTAGTCGTACTAGTCGGACTCCAAGGTTCTGGAGTGGCTTTTCTTCTGTACCCAGTGTTACCCTCGTTACTTTGTAACCTTCCAACTGCTGGATCACCCATGGATTTTTGTGTTGGACTCTGTAATTGTAACCATACCTCTGGTTCCCATTAAAAACCATCATTTTAGTTAAATTTTGTTCCTCTTCCCCCTCTTGGCTCTGCTGGAGGATTGATGTCCGGGTCAGGAATGCGGGGAGTTGGCTCCTTTCAGATCCTCCTGCATAGCAGGAATTCATTTGTTCCTGCCAAGCGGGAACTGGAATAAAGTGTTTGATATCTGATCCAGGAGAGAAAAGGTCCGGTGGTGTCCTTGAGTGGAGATGAAACCCTCTGTCCTGGCAACACTGGATGTGTAAATGGAGTAAAGGAACACGTGTGATGTCATGGATGTTGTCTGGCATGTGTCCAGCTGTGTGGGAGGTTCACCAGCGTGCTGGGCTTCGTTTCTGTGTGTAGAAGTATCTCCTTGTTGAAGGTCAAGCAATGTAGGTTTCTAGTCTTTGAGGGCAGTGTTCATACATGGCTTTGTTGGCCATGGGTTTTCTTTTGATGAAAGACTTGTTTGAGTTACGGGAGAGACATCTTTCACCTTCTGGTTCACTCCCCAGGTGACTGCCAGGACTGGGGCTGGGACAGGACAAAGCCAGAAACTGAACATTCCATCCAGGTCTCCATGTCGGCGGGAGCTGAAGCAGTAGGGCCATCTTCCACTGCTTCACTAGGCGTGTTCTTGGGAGCTGGGTCAAAAGTGGAACAGCTGAGGGCGTGAACCAGTCCACGGAAGATCTCTGCCCGCTCGGTTCCTGACTTTTTAACTAAGTTTTTAGGGGGAAAAAAAAGTGGAGCTATAGGAACATGAACTGGCTGTGATATGTGATACTGGCACCACAAACTCCAGCTTAGCTTACTCTGCCACAGCGCGCACCCCAGTTGGTTGGATCTGGCAGGAAGGAGTATAACTTGAGTGAAGTGTTGGTGGTACTGTCATGAGCTAATCTTCAGTCTTGGGAGAGCAGGCCATTTGCTTCCCAGGCCGGAAGTGAAGTGTGTCAGTTATGTGATGTTCTGGAGTCAACTGGAGGACCCACAGCTCCTGGTCTTCTGTTTCAGTTTGTTAGCATTTTTCATTCTGGAAGGGGGTAGATGCCTGCCACACTTAGATATGGACCTTGGATCAGGATGCTGGATTTAGGAAGGACAGTTTGGAGATGAGGGTTTCAGGGGTTGAGATGCAGGTGTGAGGCTCCATGCCTGGAGGCAGAAAACCTTTCCAGGGGATCTTCAGATGGTAGAGAAGGGTGGAGTTGTGTTGGTGAGAAAGTTCCTCTTGGCTCTTAGTCATAATCCTTACTTGGCCTGTTTTTTTCCCGCGTGTGGTGTTTGTAAGCTTGCTTGTACCTGCCAGGCCAGTTGTTTTCATGTGTTTTAACTGCACAGAACTGAGAGCCAAGAGAGAAGAGGTTTTGGTCGTGGCAGAGTGTAATACTGCAAGACAAGTGGCAGCAGTGAGTGCCTGGGCTGCTTGGCTGGGAGATTCTGTGGCTTCGTGAGATGGATCAGTGACTAAATTCTCACCTGGTAAATGTCAAGATCCCACATGGGCTTTGTTTAATGTCCCAGCTGCCCCACTTCCCATCCAGCTCCCTGTTTGTGGCCTGGGAAAGCAGTGGAGGATGGCCCAAAGCCTTGGGACCCTGCACTCATGTGGACAATCTGGAAGAAACCCCCTGGTTTGTGGCTTTGGATTGGCTTGATTCTGGCCATTGTACCCACTTGGGGGAGTGAACCAGTGGACTCTGTGTATTTGACTTTGCAACAAAAATAACATTTAAAAAAAAAAATTGTTTTGCTCTCATGGGTGGCAGGGGCTTCTTCCCAGGCTGAGCAGGAAGCTGGGTCAGAAAGGGAGTAGCTCTACTAATAAGGGAAAGCAGTGGCAGATGGCCTGCATGCCTGGGGAGGTGGCTGCGAGGGGGCTGTGCAGCAGGGCTTTGGGCCATCCTCCACTGCTTTCCCAGGCCACACCTTGAAACTCCAGCTGGGCCTCCCAGGTGGGTGGTGAGGGCCCATTTTCTCTGGCTATCTCTTGCTGTGTCAGGTGTGTGTTAGCAGGGACCTGGAGTGCTGTGAACTGCAGTGGAGCTGGAACTTTGACTTGGAGCCAGAGGTAGTAGCTTCACCTACTGTGCCACCATGCCAGATCTTCCCCCACCCCCTTCTGTAAGGCTCACTATGATTTTGGGAGAATGTTTCGGGTTTTTTCCACTTGCATGTGTCTTGGTGGTGCTAGCGGTGTTCTCCAGCAGCTCTGGTCCACAGATTTGGCCTGAGGCTTGGAGATGGCTAGCACATGGAGAGCTTTCGGGGCAGCTACATAGCAGTGTTCCTGAGGCGGGAGCAGGCTGGGAGACAGGCTCCGCTCTGTAGCATTCTCTAATTCCCAGTCCTGGGGGTGGAGCAGAGACTTTCCGTGGTGTGTGTTTGGGGCTTTTTTTTTTTTTTTTTTTCTTTAAAGATTCATTTTTATCGAAAGGTAGATTTATAGAGAGGAGAGACAAAAAGCTTGCTGGTTCACTTCCCAAGTGGCTGCAACAGCTTAGCAGGTCTAAAGCCAGCCACTTCTTCAGGACGTCCCATGTGATTGCAAAGTCCCAAAGCTTTGGACCATCATCTTGCTTTACCCAGGCCACAAGCAGGGAGCTGGATGGGAAGTGGAGGAGTTGGGACATGAAACGGCCCATATGGGATCCTGGCACATGCAAGATGAGGATTTAGTCAGTAGGCTGTTGGCCAGGCCCCAGAGGCTGCATTTATGAGGGAAGCTTGACAGCATGGTCCTACAAAACCAGTAATGTGTATACATAATGCATGAGATGTCCTCTGCAGGCGACTGGGCATCTGCTACCTGTTCCTACATCTGCCTCCATGGTGAAGAGCCAGAACCAAATGGCCAGCCTGCCCAGAGATGGAGCACGTTGGTGCCTCCCCTCCACCTTTTAAAAGTTTGAGCTTTATTTACTTGAAGGGCAGAGGGACAGAGGCGTCTTCTATCTGCTTGTTCCCTAAATGGCTGCAATGGCCAGGGAAGGGTCAGGCTAGAACCTGCAAACTTCTTCCCTATCTCCCATGTGGGTGTAGGAGCCAGGCAGTTGGGCGATGCCCTGCTGTTTTCCCAGGTGCATTAGCAGGAGGCTGGTGGGAAGGTAGAGCAGTTCAGACTTGAACCTGGTACCCATATGAAATGCTGGCACTTGATAGCTATTTCTCAGTTCTGACCCCAGGGAGATCATTCATCTGCTGGCTCGGTCCCAATCCATTTGATAAAATGGTTGGGACTGGGCTGGGTTGAAATTAAACTGAAGGTTTCTGGGTGGTCACAGGGCCATACTTTGACTCTTGTCCTCTGCTTTCCCAAGCATATGGCAGGAAACTGGATTGAAAGTGGAGCAGCTGGGGGCCTGGCATGATGGCTCAGAAGCTAAATTCTTGTAAGCACTTGGATCCCATACGGGTGCTGGTTTGTGTCTCAGCTGCTCCACTTCCCATCCAGCTCCCTGCTTGTAGCCTGGGAAAGCAGTGGAGGATGACCTTGGGACCCTACCTGCGTGGGAGACTAGGAAGAAGCTTCTAGCTCCTGGCTTCAGATCAGCCTACCTCTGGCCAGTGTGGCCACTTGGGGGAGCTAAAGATATTTCTGTCTCCCTCTCTGTGTAAGTCTGACTTTCCAGTAAAAATAAAGCTTTAGAAGAAAGTGGAACAGCTGGGCCTTGAGCCAGCATTTTGATATGGGATACTGGTGGTGCAGGTGGTGGCTTCACCTGCTATGCCACTGTGCTGGCTCCATGAGGAGGACTCCCTTACAACTGGGAAGCAGTTGAGTATTGAAATTGCTGACAGGGAAGGGACTAACCTGGGAGTGCTGAGTTGCAGTGTGGAGTAGAAGAGATCAGTGAAGGATGAAGAGCGGAGAGGGATGTAAGGGTGAGCTGTTGCAGGATGAGAAGCCCTCTTCCAGGTGTCAGCCTGCTAGTGCGTGTGTCACCACGGGGTGGCAGTGCTGTGCAGGCCTCACCAGGAGGTGGCAGTGCCGTGCTGCGCAGGTTGAAGTCACCCCAGCCAGGGTGGTGCAGGGACCTGGCTGTTAGATCCTCAGTTAACGGCTTCTCTTGGAAAGCTGGTTCACTGAGTTTTTTCCAAAGTTATGTGGGATTAGAAGTTCAGGGTTTTGTGTGTTTTCCAGGTTTTTAAATATTTGCATGTATATAAGTGGTGATGGGATTGGACCCACTTCTAAACATGAGGTTTATGTTCACATGTACCTTAATACTTAATACATAAGCCTGAAGGTGCTTTCATGCAAAATTCTGTTGTGAATGGGACTGCCATATGAGAGATTGAGTTTTTTTCAAAGGTAGATTTTAGAGACAGAAAGGTATTCCATCTGCTTGTTCACTCCCCCGAATGGCTGCAGTGTCTGGAGCCGAACCAGTCCAAAGCCCAGAGCTTCTTCTGGGTCTCCTGCTTGGCTGTAGGCGGACACTTGGGCCAGCCCATGCTGCTTTGTGTAGGCTGTTAGTGGGGAGCTGGGTCAGAAATGGAGTAGCTGGGATGCTAGCATTGCAAGTGATGGATTTACCCACTGTGCCAAGATGCCATCTCCTTGCACCAGCTTGCTTTCTGCTTTTCTGCTTGTCTTATGTAACTTCAATGGAAAACTCAGCAAACTGCTTATTATACTTTTCAAATACTACTTCCCCTCCCATTTCAGGATTTTAATTTTTACAGGGAAATCTGGTATGGAAGGAGTCCTTCGCACAGGGCTTGGGGAATGGGCAGTTTGTTTTTAGGTTGTTTACAAACTCGGCGTGGGGTTTTCTGAATTGGGACTGCTGGATGTTAAAAATCCAGTGAGGCTCACTGCCAAGACACTGGTCAGAGACACCTCGTGGTGGGGCCGAAGGGGCACTCCGGTGTTAGGATGTAGGGACTCAGGTGCCATTGTACCAACCTGGGAACAAGGAACACGGCCTTGCTGCGGGCCACTTACGGTTGGGTGGCGAGACATCCTCCTCCATGAGGGGCTGCGGAGCGCCTCCCGGCACACATGAAGTGGAGCTGAGCTGTGGAATTTG